ATACCATTGTGTGTTTAAGTGCTCACTAGTCAAGCACCAAAAATCTGGTCCACATCGGATGATATATCACTGAGATATAACAGTTTGAATAATGTAGGGGGCGCACTTGAGTCAAATTTGAAACAACAATAACAATGTGTGTAGACATGGTCACACATTATGCCACAAAAATCTGGTGCAGATCGGATGATATATCACTGAGATATAACTGTTAGTATATTGTAGGGGCGCTGTAGAGTCAAAATTAAAAAAAAAACATTCTACTGTGTCCACCAGGCCTAAATAATAATACACCATAAATTTGGTGCAGATCGGCTGATATATCACTGAGACAAAACAGTTTGAATAATGTAGGGGGCGCACTTGAGTCAAATATTAAACAACACAACTAAAATGTCCATCAGTTTTCAGTAATGACGCACCAAAAATCTGGTTCAGATCCGATGTTGTATCACTGTGATATAACTGTAAGAAGAATGTAGGTGGCGCTGTGGAGGCTCTTGGCCACTTATCATGGAACCCTGTTCAAAGGTGGATAATGATCAATCATAGTGATTTTGGTTCATCTGGGCTCAAATCTGTGCAATTTAGAGCCAAACGTATTGCAACGACGTCACTTTTTAATTCGCCATGGCGCCACGCCCACATTCTCCAGCTATAACTGTTTTGTTGTTTAAATCAAGTCAGACCATCTTATCTGTCTTCTAACACAGGATCATCCTGATTATGTCCAGGGTGTCAAAGAAGGAGCATTCCAAGCCAAAAAAGTCACTTCCTGTTGTGAGGGGGCGGGGCTTTGATGACGTCACAATATGACCTCAGGGTATCGTCGTGCATGGGACAGGGATGAGTCGTGCCTAATTTGGTGCAAATCTGTTTTTCAAGTTGAAAGTTATAACGTTTGGAAATTTATGGCGTGAAGCTCAACTTTGAGGCCTGGCCACGCCCCTTTAGAAAAACGAAACGGAAAGCTTTTGATAACTTTTACTCTCCAATGTCTTAAAGGCCTATTAACCAAGTTTTAAGTCAATCCTTCAAAATCCCTAGGAGGAGTTCGTTAAAATTCGCCGTTAAAAACGCCCAAAAATTAACCTTTGACCCAAAATGGCCGACTTCCTGTTGGTTTTGGACCGGAGCTCCAAGAGACTTTTTCATAGGTCCCGAGAAGATACACATGTTCACCGAGCTTCAGAATTATCGGTCTAAAAATGGCTTGGGGCTGAGGTTTTAAAATATTCTAGGGGGCGCTATAGAGGCTATTGCACAGTTATCATGGCTTCCTGTTCAAGGGGCGGGCAATGATCGATCGTAGTGATTTTGATGAACCTCGGATCAAATCTTTGGAATTTAGAGCCAAACATATTGTCACGGCGTCACTTCTGAATTCGCCACGCCGCCACGCCCACATCCTCCAGCGGAAACGCTTTGCGCTTCAAAGCAAGTCAGACCAACTTGTTATCTGCCTTCTAACTCAGGATCATCCTGATTGGGTCAAGAGTGTCAGGGAGGGAGCATTCCAAGCAAAAAAAGTCACTTCCTGTTCTGAGGGAGCGGGGCTTTGATTACGTCCAAATTTGACCTCAGGGTATCGTCGGGCATGGGACAGGGATGACTCCTGCCAAATTTGGTGCAATTCTGTTTTTCAACGTGAAAGTTGTAGCGTTTGGAAATTTTTGGCGTGAAGCATAACTTTGAGGTCCGGCCCCGCCCCCTCAACATGCGTCGGTTTGCATTATTCATTTTGATGCAAGGCTTTAAGGTAATTAACCTTTTCTTTTGTCTAAGAGTAATTGAATAAGGCAGTTGTTCCAGCAACCTCAATACTACATTTCAAAATTAAAAGTCCTGCTGTTATGTGTGAAAAATATGTCTATGTGAGTGCATATATGTCAGAGCAAAATGCAGCATCCATCCTGAAACTGGAGCCATCGCACCATCATAAATCACATGTGAAGCCGACACTCAATCCAGGACCTAATCCAGACATCGTAGTGACATTTGCTTGACCGCTGCTCCCGGTTTTCTCCAGCCTGACTTTGGAGATACTACATGTTCAGAGTTCAAGAGTTCATCATGATGTTAGTCCAGTGCCCCCTCCTGGACAAAGTAAAGTTCCACACACACCAGCATTTTGTTTCAGTTCAGTTCATGACTCCAAACTTAGATTATTCTCTTGTTGTTTTGTAGCAGAACAGGATGTCTTTCAGCCCAGGTGCCGCAATCTGGTGGTCTTATGAAGTCACAATTTGTTAGCAGCCTAGTTTTTCTGCATCAACTATACACATGTGATGTACTACTGTGCAACCAGAACCAGATCTCCAAGATGTCAATCCACAATTGCTTTTGCATCCTAATATAAACCATTGTGTGCATTCTGTGTGTTGCCAGAACATCCTTCCCGATTCAAGAACTCACTCAGTTCAACTTTTTCTTAAAAGTAAAAAAAAAATTAAGATTAGCTTAAAAAAAAAAGCAATCCAATTCAATTCTGTTATTCTTATTATATTTTGTTAAGTTTGCAGCAATGTATTTGGGATTGCAGGTTTACGTGTTTATGAGAGTAATTTTTTTTATGCTAATTCCATCTCTCATTAGTTAGATGTAAGACCCTTGCCAGGCTGTGTGCAGCCATTTGTTCTATTTCATATAGGCTTCGCCCTTTAAGGCTGTCGCTGATGGGTT